TGATTTCTTGTGCAGCCCAGACTGAGAACTACATAAGTAGGAGATGAGGATGGTGAGCAGCATCAGTCACAAGAGCACTGAAACTCATGTGCCTGACCAGGGCACTATCTGTAAGTGATGTCTTCATGATTTGTAATTCTTACTAGGACCCTAAGTTTTGGAACCTTTTGATCAAATTAATATTTTTCATACTATTATCAGTGAATCATATGATTGTAAACATAAGGAGCAAAGTGTGTGGTCCCACATACCAGATTTGCTTATAGCTTTGAATGAAGAATTGGGTACAATATTTCAAGAGTTGGTGTGATGTGGTTCAAGGCATTGAATCCTGAAAGGATTTAGTAGGAATGAGGATTCTAATTTAAATGGGGTTTTGCTGATTTAAATTCAGCTGGATGTGTGTCTCAGCCTCGAGGATGGCCAACAAATATTCATGAAATACTGGTCACAAACAAGCACTGTACCTTGTACTTGCAGTCATGAAGACAGGCATCACTTTTAAGTGACCTGTAAGTAGGTGATAAGGCATTGAGTGCTATGAGATGAACACATAATGCTGTGGGAATATAGCAACAGGTCTTACAGGGACCCCTGAGTTTAGCTGAGCACAAATAACACATAATATACCGAATGTATGAGTAAGTGAGTTGAAGAGGGCAATGAGATCAAGCAGCAACAGCAGAATATGTGAAAAGTTGGAGTCAAGAAATGAATTGTGAGTTGAGTTGGGTTATATAGGGGATGAGTTACTGGTCCAAGTGAGACTGTGGAGGTGGACAAAAGACAGATCATGAGAAATCTTTTTTTCTTTTATACCTTTAAGAGAATTTTACCATTACTTTATACACACTTTATCCAGGTTCTAGAAGTATTAATATTTTACCATGCTTCTTTAATCATAGTCTTCCTCTAACATAGTTTATTTTTTTGCGGAACCGGGGATTGAACTCAGGTCCTTGAGCTTGCCAGGCAAGTGCTTATTCCACTGAGCTATCTCCCCAGCCCCTTTTACCATTACTTTAGGAACAGTAAGCA